TTCCTCCAAGGCATTCTCTTTGCGTGTGACGATAGGTACTTCGTCGTTCTCAGGATTCGTGACACCCGGTTTATAACATCAAAATCAGTTAACGTTCCGTCGAAAATTTTAGAGTTTTGATTGTGGACGACAAAAAAAATAAAAAGTAATTACCAATAAAGCATCTCGTCGGTAATACTGAGATCCAGATTCAACATAATTATCAAAACCTCATCAATCATCAACTTATTTATACATTTATTAAAAGCTCTTTCATTAGGCTACAGAAAATCGCTATTTTACTCATGTTTTTTGTTATCTTTGTTATAGCCAAACTAATAAATCAGCAAATGTTTTTTGTTATCTTCAGTAAATGATTTATTTGCTTATCAAGAGCTCTTTCATCAGACTTCAGAAAACCATCAACTTTGCTCCTCTTGTTTTTTTTTCTAATTATTGTTATAGCCAAAATCATAAATCAGAAAGTGGTTATAGTTAAAACTCATCAATGAACAAATTATTTTTACGTTTACTAAGAGCTCTTTCATTACGTAGCAAAAAACGTCTATTTCGCTCTTTTTTTTGTTATCATGGTTATAGGCAAACTCATCAATCAGCAAATTATTTCTACATTTATCGAAAGCTCTTTCATGAGGATGCAGAAAATCGTTATTTTTCTCTTGTTTTTCGATTATCATTGTTATAGCCAAACTCATCAATCAACAAACGATTTCTACGTTTATCAAGAGCTTTTTCATGAAGTTGACGAAAACCATCAACTTTTCTCATCATGTTCTTTTTAATCAATGATTATAGGCAAACACATATATCAGAAAATAATTTCTACATTTATCAACATTTCTTCATGAGGCTGAAAGAAACCGTCAATTTTGTTCTTTTATTTTGTTATTATTGTTATAGTCAAACTCATCAATCGGCAAATAATTTTTACATTTATCAATAGCTCTTTCTTCATGCTGCAGAAAACTGTCTATTTTGCTCTATTTTATTATTATCATTGTTATAACCAAACTCATCAATCACCAAATGATTTATACGTTTACCAAAACCTCTTACATTAGACAGTAGAAAACCGTCAATTTTGCTCCTATTATTTTTTGTTTTTATGGCTATAGCCAAACTCATCAATGAGCAAATTTCTAAGTTAATCAAGAGCTCTTTCGTTAAGCTGCAGAAAACCTTCAATTTTGCTCATTTACCGTTATAATGGTTATTGCAAAACTCTTCAATCAACCAATGATTTTTACGATTATCGAGAGCTCTTTCATTAGACTGCCAAAAATCGCCAACTTTGCTCTTTTTTTTTGTTAGAATGGTTATAGTTAAACTCTTCAATAGCCAAATGATTTCTACGTTAATCAAAGACCTCTTTCATCAGACTACGGAAAGACGTCAATTTTGCTTTTTTCTTTTTTTGTTATCTTGGATATAGCCAAACTAATCATCAACAAATGATTTCTACGTTTATCAAGAGCTTTTTCATGAGCCTGCAGAAAACTGTCACTTTTGCTCATTTTTTCGTTATCATTGATATAGCCAAACTCATCAATCAGCATATGATTTCTACGTTAATCAAGATATCATTAATCAGACTGCAGATTGCCGTCAATTTTATCTCTCTTGTTTGTAATCATTGTTATAACCAAATTCATTAATGAGCAAATAATTTTTACGTTTATCAAGTGCTCTTTCATTACAATGTAGAAAACCGTCACTTTTGCTCATTTTTCTTTGTTATCATGGTTATAGCCAAACTCATCAATCAACAAATGATTTCTACGTTTATCAAGATCTCTTTCATCGAACTGCAGAAAAACGTCAATTTTGCCCTTTTTTGTTATAATGGTTATAGCAAAACTCTTCAATCGGCAAACGATTTCTACGTTTATTAAGAGCTCTTTCATCATACAATAGAAAACCATCAATTTTGCTCTCTTTTTCCATCATCGTATAGCCAAATTCATCATTAGCAAATGATTTCTATGTTTATCAAGAACTTTTTCATGAGCCTGCAGAAAACCGTCAATTTTGCTCTTTGTTTTCGTTATCATTGTTATAGCTAAACTTATCAATCAGCAAATGATTTCTACGTTTATCAAGATCTCTTTCATCAGACTGCAGAAAGCCGTCAATTTTGGCTTTCTTGTTTTGTTATCATGGTTATAGACAAACTTATCAATGAACAAATAATTTTTACGTTTATCAAGAACTCTTTCATCACGTTGCAAAAAAACCATCAATTTTGCTCCTTTTTTTGTTATCATGGTTATAGCCAAACTCATCAATCAGCAAACTATTTCTACATTTATCAAAAACTCTTTCATTAGGCTGCAGAAAATCGTTATTTTGCTCCTGTTTTTTGTTACCATTGTTATAGCCAAACTTATGTTCAACAAATGATTTATACGCTTATCAAGAGCTCTTTCATTAGATTCCCAAAAACCTTCAACTTTGCTCCTCTTGTTTTGTTATCATGTTGATCAAGTTCAACCGGTTGGATCAGGTTTTATAAAATTATTTTGTCATTCAGTGAGAAATTAATAATAAAATTATGTAACTTCTGTAGAGTGACGGTTTTTTTTATAAAGTAACTTAATTATATTGTAGTTATCAAATAATTTTACTATTAATTTTAAAATAAAATATACATTATGGACCAACCATTATAAATAACTATTATATATCAGAATTTAATTGATCAGTTTTGAATCACTAATGATCTTGACTCATTTTCTATTCCGTATACCAATAATATTCACTCATTTTCTATTCTGTATACCAATAATATTCTTAATTCTTCTTCTTCATCTTCATTGGTCCCAAGATCCTCGGCCAAGTTCAAATATGAAGTAAGTATTCAACATCTGCGGTATCTCCCTTGTTTGTACAAGTAAAACCACTAACGGACTAAGAAATTGAGGTTAACATATAAACAAAGGCATGCATGACTACAAACTAAACGAAAAAAGTTTAGATGAAACAAATGCATGATCACCATAGCATTGGTGAAGCGACCTCAGGGTAACAACAACAATAACTGAGTGCCTGATTCAGATTCAAACATTCGCGTTCCCTTAATGCTATCTCCTCTCTTTCTTTTACCGGTATGTAAGAGTGTTCCATCCGTTCCTTCTCATTCCTCTATAGATACAATCATAACTTTTGTGTTCTCTATCACCTGCAAAAGAAAGATTTCAAGATACTAAAGAATGTAGAACATGTTCTTTTCATCCTCATCTCCAGCTACGTTCTCAAGTAACGTTTTTAACATTTCATATCATCACAATCTTCTTCTTTTTCTTCCAATTAGGGTTTTCGATGCCATTTTGACCTTTCCTATTACATACATGCTCTCCACTGCGACCAATGTCGTATCTCCTTCTATTGCAACAACGTATTGCTTCACTATATAATTCACCATGGCTGATTCCGGTTGATGATAACACAAAGACAGAGCAAAAATGATATCAGAAACATGACTCTCAAGTAAACCGGAAAATCCTAACAAATCAAAACTTATTTATATAAAGTTTGGGTTTAGTACTTGTTTTAAATTTTAATTAAAAAAAATATTTCTTACAAAACAAATATCTACAAACACTAAATCAAGCACGCACACAAACAATCTAATCGTGTACTTACAATTGATTTTTTATAAGTTTGTAGATGGAGTGATAAAGAATGTCGTGATCATAGGAAACATAAATCATATTGAACTAATTCACTTCTCCAAAAGCAGCTTGATCACACTCCACAGTATAAGAAAAAAAAAAGGAACTTACAAAATAAACTCACGTTATGTAGAACTCATATTCCAAAATAATTCAAAAAAAAGATAAAAAGTGATCTAAATTACATACATGCGGCATGAGCAGTGTTAATAATACGAATCAACTCTTAGTTCTGGCAACATGATCACTAAATTTAATAAAACTAAAACAATTTAAAAGCAAAGAGAAAGTTATATGAACAATTTTTTAAAAATATCTAATTAAATACTACTATAGAGAGCAAATCTTTAATTAATCATATAAGTGTCTATATGTATATAATAAACACATAATTTAAAAATAGTATGTGGGATGAAAATCACACGTCAATATATTTAAGAATAAAAGAACTTTGTGTCTTTTTTTTATTTTCATCCTTTTCTAAAACTACCCTTACAGATTTTAATTTTTTTAATTTTAATTCAGAACAAAAATATATTTCAAAATTTAAAATATATGATGGACAAATTATAATTATTTAAATATTAGTACCTTGACGAATTTACGAATATTAACTTTCTTAATTAAACAATTTCGAGATAAAATATTCACATCATTATTTGCAAATTTTAAAGTCTTTATCAAATTCGTACAATTTTATGTTCACCAAAAAAAAAATTAGTACAATTTTATCGTTATATTCTTGCAAAATAAAATCGAAGTCAAATTTGTTAGAGATTTTGTTAAAGATTTTTTGTAAACTTTGATCTTTTGTGTAAGAATCATAGATATCGTATCCAATAAATTTAATCCAAAAAATTTCATAAAGTATATAATAGATTAAAGTTTAATGAAATATCACTTACTTATGAGATGAAATAATGACACATAACATATTGTGAAAAGATTTGTAAAATCCAATTGATGTGTTCGTCAAATAACTCCGGCCCCAATAATTTCACTTCTTACATATCCACAAACGTTTTAAATATTATATAAGCTAAATGACATATAACACAACATGTTTTATAATTCATAAATAAAAACATTCACATTTGTCATATGTACCTACGTTTCTAGTTATAAAATCCTTAATACAAATGATAAGGTTGCTACAAAATTAAACGAAACAAATAAAACCACTAAAGCAAGTACCACCACCTCCACCGCTAGAACATACCGTACCTTCAACCACCTCCACCACCACTGTATCCTCCACCACCTCCCCCCTAAACCACTAAACGTCAAAACAAAGATATATCACAAAAGTTATATGGACCTGACTATACACGTGTTACCCTCTATTTAGTAGAACTCGTGATCGGGAAAAATGAGCGGTGCAATGAGTGTCCATATGTAGAGTCCGGTCGTGACCCAACCGGTGCATATCTTGACCTAGACCGAGGTCCATCCCACATCAATCAGAGTCGCATTCTTTGATGAGTCAGTCCATTCCGAGAGAAGCATTGCACCATACATGCTCGCAAGCGCACAGATGATATGGAAGAAGGAGTATGAGTAACTCACAGGTCGTGCCTCGGCTTCACCACTCGTCTTCTTCTCGTCCTCGGGGTCTTCTAACAATGCCTCCTTTACACCTGCAAATAACTTTTTCAACGAAAAAGAAGAAACAAAAATCTGAGTATACCATAGACATGTGCACTCATGTAGCCATTAGAAGCATTAACAGCACCACATTCAGGACCTGGACTTGTTAAATTCCATTCAAACAAATATACGTATCAGTGAGCATATATGTTGTGGTTCCACAAAAATCAGAGAAAATGAAGAAAATAACATAAAATTAGTGATTTTTCTACTCACTTTTACGTCACCGTCGTCAGAGGGCTCTTCTTTGTAAACAGAAGATGCGACGTCGACTAATAATGAAACTACCAACAAATTTGTAAACCGTGAACGAAGATTATATAACACAGGGCAGACGCAGTCATATAATCAAAAATATAAGTTAATGTTCTTTACCTGAGATTTCATGGAAGGGAAGACACTCCAATCTTGGGTTTCATCTACTGTTTATGCTTTTGTTATTAACGCCTGCAATAGTGACAACAAAAAAGTGTGTTGATACGAATTTAAATAATTAATTGCCAACATAAGAAAATAATAAAGGAAAAAGAGACTATATAATTACAAAGATATGCGATAAGAATAAATTTAAGAGTAACACGTCCATCAGGTGAGACCGCGTGGTACATAACGTGGAAAGTGTCACCAGTGAGTTTTGACAATTGCAAAAGCAAAATTTATCATTATAATCCAATAACTCGGTAACAAAGAAGATAAATTAAATTTCTACATAACAGAAAGATCAAAAACTAAATCATGACTACTAATAATACCACATATGGGACTAAAAGTTTTTGATCATAACCAATTATTTTGTAATATAGTTCATCAAAACTAAAGAAGACAGTATGCAAAAATTATTACCGTTGCTCCAGAGCTAGATGCATCATTCGGAACACGTTCTTCATCCAGAAATCGGGAAGGGATGTCTTTCTCTGAAGAAAGTACGGTTTTTGTCAGGTTAATTGAAAACAAAGGCAACGAATATAAAAGGGCTCATAATTATCAAGATCGATGGTAGTAGAGATTTAACCTTGCAAAAAGGGCACGGGGGCCTCTCCTCCAACAGTCATGACGTTTTCATTCAAATCTATAGTGCACTACACATAGCAAGAAAGATAGTAGCGGCTTTGCATTGGTTGAAACAGATGCAATAAATTTAAAGTCAATTATAGAGATAGTACCTGATGCTTACGCAACATATCCATGCCAAATAGAAATTCCATGTTAGGTGAGTCCAGCACCACGAATGAACACGGGTAAAAGTTATTTCCAATCTGCAAGGTTCGAGATTTTCAGTTTCTTATGCAAAGAAGAAGGAAATAGGAAAAAAAAAGGGGGAAAAAAGATTGGCGGTGTTCACCTTGATAGGAGCAACATGAATGCGGCCCAATACCTCTGACTGGCCAACATCATGGGCAATACCTTTATAGCGTTGATCCATAAGTCTCAGCAATCTGAAAGTAAGTATTCATCAAGACTCATGAGTTATTCCATCGTATTTGGATATGGAGCCATGGAGGTCAATGGCGTACCTTTGAAGGTAAAAACAACATATCATTATCGTAATTAATATTACACATTTACTATAGCCTATAGGCAATTAGGCATGGACCGTCCTTCTTGTCCACGTATTCAAAACTATTTGACAATTTAATTAAAAAATCAATACTAAACAATAAAACGCAATAAAATCGCATATAAAAATATATAAGCTAACAGGATGAAACACAAACATTTAAATAGGTAAATAAATGTAAAATATACAAACCAAATCTATAGAAGTACCTTTCCAAACCTCGTTCTTTGCTCGTCAACACCACCTTCGTCGGAGAGCTTTGTCGATGGAACCTCCCACGTTATACAAAACTAAAACACACACCAAAAAACCAAATCAGCAAAACAATAAATCAACGAACTAATGCAAAAATAAAACAAACAACACAAACAATATGCACACGACCTCTAAAGGTAAATGAAAACAATATTTGCATGACAAACAATTTGATTCATCAGAATCGTAGCTGTATAACAAAACCATAACGGTGAAAACTATCTAATGGGCACAGAAAAATAATACCTAATTCTCTGGCCGATCAACAATATATATAGCTTTAAGATTAGGGCAAACCTCCGATATTATCTTAAGAAATTTAACTTTTTTAATTAGAAACTAAATCAGAAAACTAACAAAAACGAATATTAACTACTAAGATATAGAATTATCCAAAAAATTAACAAATAAATTTAAGCTAAGATTCCATAATCGTTAAAGTTTAAGCTAAGATTCCATAATCGTTAAAGTCGAGACATTATGACATCCGTATCCCCAACGATTACACTATAAAATAAAAAAATTTAAGGGTGATTAAGACTAATCATCACAAAACACGATTAGACTTATATACCCTTAACAATTACGAACAAAAAATTTCGAATTAAGGGTGTTTAGGACATTATTATAGAGATCAACACACGATTAGACTTATATACCCCTAATTACGAAGAAGGAGAAATTTCGAGAAGAACAATTCATTAAGGGTGTTTAGGACAAATCATTCTAACTTTTAACCACAGGCCTCCAATGCCCTAACTTTCAATATGGTGCGTTTCTACTTCTCAAATAATTATTGTAGAGATATATCTGAAGGGTTTATGGTAGTAGCATCTGCATTTCAGGAAACAGTATTTATAGTCAAAAATGCTAAATTACATATATCCACTACTTTTTTTTTCACTTGGTCAAAACTCATTATATACTACTAAAACAATCAATCTTTTGTTGAATAAATTTATATTATATTTGTTAAAATTATAATTTTTTTGTGTGAAAAATTACCATTAGTTTTTTTAAATTCATGTTCCCTACACAACTTTATCTACATGACTACATAATAATCTCAATGAATTGCCCCTCTGCATTTCACTTTCTAACTTGGTCTATATATAGAAAAGTTAACCTAAATATTATTTATTTTGCAATCTCGTGATGTAGACGAATATATATTTGCATACGAAACCATGATTCATGTACTTTTGTTTGTTTTTAAATTTTCTTCACATTTGCAAGTTGTTACCTCACAATGCGATTAAATAAGGTGACCGTCCTACCTACAAATGAAAAATTGCGATTGACTCGTGTCAATACATTATTGGTTATATTATTTAACGTTTGTCTCCTCACCCAAGTCACTTTAATTTAGGCCATAAATCTGCCCAACTATAACCATTAAAGACCTTTACACTATATACATGCACCACATTTTTTTCCCCAAATTTTTCTTTTCCATTTCAATCCAACATCCCTAAAATATTAAATTCATCACCTAATAAATTAATCTACCCATTTTAAAAAGCTAACAAATCAATTAAAATCAAGGTATTTTAATCTTGATATAAATGGGTGGCCATTTGAAGTAATTTTTTTTTTCACACTTGAAAAATATTCTTTTCTATTTCAATTTAATTCATCAATTTTTTCACCTAACAAATTAATTTAAACCATTTCTTTCAGAAAAAATGCTAGTAAGAACAATACATAAAAATGGATGATATCTTGATTTTGATCTTGATATAAATGTGTGGCCATTTGTAGTATGTATGTTTTTATTTTTGCACATTGAATTTAAAAACTAAGAGATTCACACTTAAGGCAATGATCAACTACTTTCTTGCTCAAATTGTGTACCTTTTTTAACATCCCAAGGTCCATTAATCTTTGACTTTATAAGTCTAAACCGTTGTAGGAGCTTTTCATAGTCATGCCTACACATGTCATTAAATTTCATACAATGGCAAATTCCGTAATTTAATAGAGAATACAAGGGTGAATTCATATCCCACCACCTATAAATGAAAAGGCAAAGATCTCTCGCTTAAAACCTAAAAAACAGAGATCTTAACACAAAACAAATCAAACACCAAAAAAAAAAACACAGAGATGGGTTTGGTTACAGATGAAGTGAGAGCTAGGGCAGAGAAATACACAGGAGATGAGATATGCCGTGAGAAGACAAAGGAGTTTCTCAAGGAAGTTTCTATGCCTAATGGTTTATTGCCATTGAAGGACATTGAAGAGGTTGGTTACGACAGAGAGACAGGTATTGTCTGGCTGAAGCAGAAGAAGAGCATCACCCACAAGTTTCTAGAAATTGGGAAACTTGTCTCTTACGCCACCGAGGTCACTGCCCAGGTGGAGGTTGGAAAGATCAAGAAGCTTACCGGTGTTAAGGCTAAGGAGCTTCTGATTTGGGTTACTCTTAATGAGCTTGCCTTGGAGCAGCCAATAAGTTCAGGGAAGATCAATTTCAGGACACCAACAGGTTTGTCCAGGACTTTCCCAGTGTCGGCTTTTGTTGTTCCTGAGGTTGAGAAGCCTGCAATGGAGAAGAACAATGGAACCACTGAAGTCAAAGAAGCTGTTGCAGTCACAGATGCTTAGTCTCTTTAATCTATCCTTCTAATCATGTATTACTTTCTGCTATTTGCTGCTTAATTTCCTTTATCAATAAGATGATACAATTTCAGATTTGGACTCAATAGATATCTATAAAATCAATATCCTTAAATAAAGCAGATTCTGTATTATCTAAAAACCTATTGTCTAGATCTGGACAAGCTTCTGATGTTAACATTTCAACAGAAAGCTATAACTTTTGCTTTAAGGAAGGAAACTTCATAGCCAACGATATCTAAAAGTTTCTTGGAAGCTATAACAAGTCACAATCTCAACACAAGAAAGAAGAGTGTGTACTATAAATAGGCCAACAACATTTGATCCATTGAGACAGGTTAAGATTGTCCTGATGCTAAACTTAGCCATTACCTGATCTAAATCGAGGTATGGTGATGTTTGTTCTTTAATTAGTAGGACAGTCTCCAATACCATATGTATAGATAGAGCCATACCTAAAAGAGATTTGTCCAGATATTGTCAGATTCTGTGGTCTTCAACAATCTTTTGATGTCATTCATTACTTTCTTGATCTTTGTTAGTTGTTGCTTGCGTCATTCAATGGGCGAAAAAATCGGTTGAGCATCAATCCAACCGATAACTTAACAACAAACAGCAGCACTAGAGCATTAATATAGCAAATGCTCTCCAGTTTACTCGATCACGGAATCAGAAACCGGATTTTCATCTCATGTTTAAGTTCCGACTTCTTGATCATAAACTAGGGAGTCTAAGTCAGGAACATAGCCAGCTTCTCTGGTCTCTTCTATCAGTAACCCCAAGACTGAATACACGGAACTCGCATTAGGACACATTTTATCGCTCACGGCAAAGCTAAAAACCTGATTTTCCACTTCGATCCAGCTCATACCGGCTTCTTTTTTGTTCCCCATCATCCTCATCATCTTCCTCACTCTAGCGAATTCAACCCACTTCCCTTCTGCTGCATAGATGTATGAAAGCATCACATAAGTCCCCACCATTCTCGGTTTCAACTCCATAACTTTTCTTGCAGCTAATCTGCTTATCAACCCCGCGTGTTTATGTGCTTTGCAAGCCCCAAGAATCGCTCCCCAAGTGGATTCGTCTGGCTTAAACGGCATCTTTTCAACCAATTCATAAGCTTCGCCTATTTTCCCAGCTCTTCCAAGCAAATCCACCACACAGTTGTAGATATCTCGGTCTGGATTTATGCCGTACTCGCTTTCCATTACGTTGAAGTACTTCAATCCTTTCTCCACTAAACCAGCATGGCGGCACGCACTCAAAACCGCCATGAAAACAATCCGGTCAGGTCTGATACCCGAACTAACCATTTTGTCAAAAAGTTCAACCGCTTCTGCTCCATAACCATGTGACCCATACCCAATCATCATTGAAGTCCAAGAAACCAAATTCCTCCTCTCTTCAATTTCGCCAAATACTCTTTCAGAGTCCGGTATATCACCGCATTTAGCATACATATCGATCAAAGCATTAGCTAACTCAACATTCTTATTAAACCCTCTTCTATAAATCCTTCCATGAAGTTGCTGGCCACAGTTCAATGCCGCTATATTAGCGCAGGCAGCAACTAAACTCGTTAAAGTGTAACAATTTGGCACAAAGCCTTGCGATTCAAACCGCTGAAACATAAGCAGAGCTTCACTACTATCTGATCGCTCAAGCTCGGATATTAAAGTGTTCCATGTGATTAAATCTTTATCTTCCATCTCATGGAAATAGCGTTTCGCCTCTGATAAATAACCACATCTGCAATACAAGTCTAATATAGAGTTCATCACCGGAAGGTTAGACTGAAACCCGCTTTTAATAACTGACGCATGAATTTGCTTGCCGGTTGTAACAGAATCAATCGAAGCTGAAGCTCTAACCGCTATTGTTATACAGTAAGGCGTCACATCTGCACTCTCCTGAACACACAAAACAGATTCAAAATGTTAAGAAACTCTATCCAAAAACGTAACAACCTCACCGAAAACATGAGTAATGTAACAAAATTACCAGCAACATTTTCTTAAACATCTTCAAACCACCAATGCCATCACCCAAATGCGTAAACCCGGTGATTAAAGTAGTCCAAGTAACATCATTTTTCACCTTGATATCCCGAAAAATCAAACAAGCCGCCTCCATTGTTACCGAACAAGTAGCGTACATATTCATTAACGCATTGTCAACGTACAAAGAACCTTCCATACCAAGTTTAACCACAACTCCATGAACCAAAGCACCATAAGCCAAAACCTTCATGTTTCTACAAGATTTCAAAACACTAGAGAGCGTGAACTCATTTGGACTCGTTCCTTGCTTAAACATCTCGTGAAAACACTCCCAAGAACTAGCATTGTAGTTGGAAGAAGCGTAACCAGTGATCATTGCGGTCCAAGTTACTACGTCTCTCTCAGGCATTTCGTCGAACAGTGAGCGTGCTTCTTCGACTAAACCTTTTTCGAAATATGAAACGATGAGATTTGTTGCTAAAATGTGATGCTTCTTGGGTTTATAAGGCGGAGACTCTGTGTTTTGACTTGACTCGACGCAAGCGTTGCGTAGAGAGCTTCTGACAAAGTTTGGGATTGGTTTAAACGCATTGGAGCGTGCAAGTTTCGTTAAGCTCATGTCTTGCGTTTAGACCAAAACGGTGTCTGATCACAGTTGGTTTGGGACTTCTGGGTTCTGTAGTAATTTCGCCATTGTCGGAACGATAAAGCTCGCAAGTCGTGATCGTTCCGACTTCCGAGTTAGCAAAGCGTATTTGAGTGTTCGGATATCCGGGTCGGGTTAGTACGAGTTACGGATAATTCGGTTATGGAAAAGCTTTTTGGAAATTAAACCGAAAAAGATCGGTTTGGTTTGGGTAGGTGAAAGTTCGGTTCGAGTTTAAGTAACTGTACATTTCGATACGATTTTATGATAATTGGGGTCACTGGAGTTTCTGGTTTCATATTATTGTGGTTATTTCTATGAAATTGGGGTTCGGTTTGCTAAAATTTGACTTTTTTAGGAAACGCGTTTCCATAATTTTTCCCCGCGTTTCCAAGAGTTTTCTATTCCGAAACGTTTCCGAAACGCACCTCGGATGGAGTTTCCATGCAACATAAGTTACTTGTGCCAAGTTTTTATTCAATTTTAAGGAATTTCGATTTAAGTACTCAAATCGAAAGCGTAAAAAAGTAAAGCATTATAAGATCGAGATCGACATAACAAGTATTATTATTTTGAGGTTTCAGATAATCAAACCAAACCGAATACCAAAATTGTAAAAACGAACCCATCGGATTATTTGGTATACCCGAAACCGAACCAAAATTAAGGTTGGTTCGATTAGGTTCCGACAATTTGTAGAAGCATAACCTACTCAGGGAAATGCTTGGTAGAGATAAAATGACAATTTGGTAAAATCTAGCATAAGCAACACTTACTTTGCCATCTACGAAGCTGCAACTATATAAAACTGTTGCAATCATATGTATACACACAAACAGAGATCAATAAAAATATATGTGAGTATGTGACAGTCAAGTTTCTGTGATGAATTTTCAATTTCTGTAAGATCTATAGCCTAAAAAAGCTTATTGCGTTCGATGTTTAGAGAAGCAAAAGAGACTGTGTTTTGCACTCATCGAACGAGAATCTGAGTCTTGGCAGCAACTCGGGAGCATTTCTTCCGGTCAGATTTTCGGAGACCACAGGCACAGATATCCAGAAGTTCGTAATCTTCTTCCCAGAATAACAGCGACGCCATCTCTGGATTTGCTAGGAGGAGTTTAGAAGTCAAGAATCCGGCGACTGTCCATGTCTGGTAGAGCCGGGATTGCTTTCCAATGAATTTGCCAGATCGGGTGTCGTAATACTCTGGCCAACGATCAGCCAACAGTCTCTTCTCAGCCACTGCAAGAGCCTTTTCAGCTAGCTCTGGTCTGCCCATCTTCATACATGCTAATGTGAACTGTTTCGAAAATCAAAATCAAACACACAAAAGTCTATTATAAACCAGAAATCCTCAGATGTTACCGATGAAAACTCTGAAATTGTAACCAGTTGATTTTTATGGTCTCATTAGCATCTAGGAAGTTGCTTAATTATATGCATATCCGAGTATTATTAATACTTTTTTTATCTAATCCAAATTACTGACATATATCTGCATACCTGCCAAAGAAGTGTGGGCCAGGATCCACTGTTGTGATACGACCAAGGCCTGCAAATTTTGACAAGTGTTTTCAGGGTTGATTCCCCGAAAAAGTTCAAGGCAAATACATATAGTCACAAGCCAAGGGAGTTCACAAAGGAGAAAGTAAAGAGTAAGCGAAACTCACGTGTTCTTTGGGTCGCTTCCAGTTATTATACGCCAATCATCGTACTCTAATGCAGGGTAACAAATCTTAAGAGGCATATTCCCAATAATATCATCCCATTTAGCTTCAATTAAGTTTAATATAGCTTCATTCTGCTTTGGTGTAGCCAATGAGGAAACAATAGACCAAAAGTTCCCAAGCGTGAAGAATCTGAAATCCATGTGTGCAGGTTGTAGGTTCCCGAGGAGATATCCACCTTGCTCGGGAATCCAGTCCATGAGCCATGGAGGAATTTGCTCAGGATAGATGTTGAACTTGTTAGTAGCATCCGTGGAATACTCTTCTGTCTTGTAACGGTATATCTCATTGATCTTTTTTATGTCCACCCAGTAATACTCTCTGATATGAAAGGACAGAGCACTTAACCTATTGTTAATGGCTCTTACAAGATTCTTGGAGCTATCATTAACAGAAAGCATCTCACGGGAACATCTGAGTGCTGAGTAGAATAACGACTGCAATAAATCCAAAGAGAAAAATCATGTTTAAGTTTCACAAAAAATATTTCAACGCTGTCAAAAGACAATGAGACAAAGAATTATTACTTGGATTTCAAGGGGATGGCCATGGATACCCATACGACGATCAATCATACAAGAACCATCAGTGACCAAAAGCGTAGGAAACATATCAAATCCATCTGCTAAACACAAGTTCATGATAAGCTTTATCCCTGTCTGAACATCTATCCTCTCTTGTAATGAGAAATCTCCAGTTATCTTTCCATATGCCCTCAAGAGAATAATCCACCACAAACCTATTAAGGACAAAAGAATCAATCAGTCCCATGGAGAATACAAACCACTCGCAGAGAACAGTAAATCGCATATGCTTGTATATATTGACATTTTCTAACAATCTACTGACCAGAATCGACAGGAGCAACACGACCAATAGCCGATTCACCAAAATCCGGATCCAAAACCTCTTCCGTAGTATTTTCATCAAGCGCCACGGTTCTAACTTTAAAACTCGCAGGCATCAAACCCTGTCCAGGACTGTAACAATCTACAGTTTTCTCCCAACTCTTAAACAACAAACAAAATCTCCATCAATACCAAACTACACCACATCAATTATCAACACATAAATCACTATACACAAATGAGAGATTCATCATCATACATACCTGAAGCTGCAATGTATGAAGAAGAAAGTTCCTAACAATATCACCTTCACCTTTAAGCAAAAACGCTAAAGCAGAAGGCACAAAATCTCTAATAAACACTTGATCATAATTCAAAGGCATCTTATCTCCAGGATCATTCGCCGCCACAGTCCCAACCGGCGAACCACAATACCTAACAACAGCGTTTTCCAAAATCCTCCACGCTTCTTTCTCAGCTTCACTCTCTTCTCTCACAACTCTCTCAGTTTCTACATTTACTTTAGAAACAGTTTCTTCTTCTTCGTTTTTGTGTATCCTTTCTAAAATTACACCACTCTGAACATGAATTCTCTTGTCACTGGAATTGGTTTCAACGGATGTGGAGAATTTTCGATTTGGTAAAATTTTTGATTGGGGAAAACGGTAAATGGACGAAGGGAAGAATCTCTGGATTGATAAATGGCGAATTGAGTTTGTTCGTGATGAATCTGGTTTTGATTCTTTGGAGAAAGTTGAGAAGAAGAGGCTTCTGTGAAATCGTGAAGGAGTTTTCGTGGAGATTTTGCGGAGGAGATAGATTGCGCTCATGGTTAGAGACGAATCTGGAATTCGAAGAATGAACCAAATGGAAAAAGAATCAAAATGATGAATTAGGGTTTAAGGTTCGATCAATTAGCGATGGAGAAGAAGGAGATGATTGGGATTTGGGAATGAGAATATTCAATTTGGGAAAATAATTTAGGTTTAAAATTTGGGATTGGGGAAGAAGTCAAGAACAAGTTTTTTTTTTTTTTTTTTTTTTTTTTTTTTTTTTTTTTTTTTGACAACCAAGAAGCCAGAAAGTTTAAAAGTTCATATTTCATATTTATTTTGTAGCATCAAATTTTTTAAATGTAAGCGCAAGCTTCTAAAATAAATTTTTTAGAAGCACTGTGGAAACGAGATTCCGAAAATTTCCGAAAATTTTCGATTCCGATCAAGATTCTAAAGCGGGAAGCGGACTTCCGCCGAAGCTTCCGTGCTTCCTAGGAAGAAGATTGATTATTTTCTTTCCTTTTTTGGTCGAAACGGTTCACACCGGTTTACTCTTGGTTAAGGTACTTGCGGGTTATTTCGTTGATTGATGAATCAGATCAAAACCAAATCAAACGAGAACCATATCCTTAGCTTCAATTTTGGATTTCGCGTTCACAAAACCAAATAACAGTTTTGGTTAGCAGACAATGACAAAATTCTTCAAATTTTAAATGTAGTTATCTTTTTTAAATCATGTTGACCATGTTTTTAAATCATGGTTTGGCAAAGTGAGATTCAGTTTTCAGGTTTTAGCAATTAGTGTATTTTTGGACAAAAATGCCCCTGCCAGCAAAACAAGTGTATCAAATAATTAGCCAATCTAGTTAGGCAAGTAACTAGTTAGGAAGAATAAAAAATACAGTGTAAAAACTAAGAATAAAAAAATTAAAATAATACGCATTTTGTTGGTTTTAGACTAATATACAGTGTAAAAAAAGAAGAATAAAAAAATTAAAAATAATAAAAAAGAAATAAAATAAAATAATTTTTATTTGTCACCCTCTTTTGTTTACTCATTTTTCTTTCTTTTTTATTTTGTAAATATTTATTATTTTTATACTTTTAGTTAAAATTTATTTTTTCTATCTTTTAAGATCCATTTTTATATTTTTTATTTTTATTTTTTATAATAATTAATTTTAAATTTTAATTATGTCGTCAATTCGAGATTTACAAAATGATGTAGTCATGTGTACGTACACAGTAATAATTTAAGTGCATATGTGTACGTTAACATATAAATAATTTTTATATTTTTTTGAACATAAAAATAAAACACTCAAACCATGTATGAACTAGATCTTAAAAAAATAGTCAAAACCAAAGAATCGAGCCAAACCTATTTGGAAAATAAGAACCGAACCCGGAACTGACAAAATATCTGAACGCTATTAAATTTCTATATCCGAATAACCGGATTCATAATCAAAGAACCAGAACCTAATCCAAAACCGAACCGAGAAACAAATATATACCCAAAATATAGGTATATACCCATCATATCAATTATATTTAGATATTTTATATCCAAATACCCAAATTACAATTATAAAACTCGAAGATGTCAATTATTTTAGATCGGAAAAAAATTAAAATAACCAAAATATCCAAAAGTTTTACTTATATGTGTCAAAATTTATTTAAATTTGATACTTTTTAATTGTTTATTAATATTTTGGGTATCCAGAGCTGAACCAAAAACATCTGAAACCAAACCAACCGAACAAAAATTTTAAGACATCTAAATGGATACGAAATCCTTCTACCCGAAATACCCCGAGTCCTACTAGAAACCAAACTTAATATTAGAATGCTTGGGGCTTAGTACGAAATATTATGGTGACACATACATCATTATTGAGACGATTTAACAGCATGCATTCGTGCATATTAGGGAAGTTAACGTATACAAGAACTTCTATTGGTGATTATGTACGTAAAAATGTAATACTGTTTACGTGAGAGACGAGTTAGTAATCGTGACAGAGAAAATGGTGTCATTGCAGGAAGATAAGTACAAAAATAGTATTATTTTCCACCCTTTTCTTTTTGTTTTCATAATTTTTCTATTTTTACTTTTATAATTATTTTTTATTTTTGTACTTTAGTTTATAAGTTATTTTTTTCTTTCGTTTAAAATTCATAATCCAAAAAAAAAATTTATATAAATTTTTTTTGTTTTACTATGAATCGTTGTTAGTAAAAAATTATAGATTAAAATTATCATGTACGTATGTGTACGTACATAATAAAGATTATGCTTATGTGTACGTACACGTTTAAACTATTTTATAAATGTAAAATATTTTTTGAATTTATGATGTATGTGTTAATAGAAATTAATGTATTGTTAGTGAGTAGAGATTCATAAAAGAAGAATAGTATAAATTTTTACCTGATAATATTTTTCTTAAGTGTGTACGTGTTACAGAAAATATGACGTACATTGTCCATGTATGTTATGTGAGGTATTTAACTTGAACTCTACTGAGTTTATTCAAAAAATTAGTTACTGGATACCGAGAATGATGTGGATGATGATTTAACATAAACGCTCTAATGTCTACATTGACAATTAAATGAGCTAGAATGCATTTTTTTTTATCCGTAGTGGGGATGTGTAAACATGTTTCTGTCGTTTCTATCGTTTTGTCCAACCGTTAAGAAAGATGTAAATAATGTGTGTATGATGGAGGACCATGGTAATAAAACTAATCGTAGACCAGGGTGAAAATACAATAAATGCCATATTTAAGGTTTTAAACGTGGATGAAAATGATGAGGATGTAGATGAAGAAGTAACCGACCGTGGGACCAACAAAAAATTCAATCGTTTATTAGAAACGTGTACATACCCTAGTGAACGTTTACGTGATTGAAAAAATAGCGATGAATTTTGGAGAGAATCGTGACATTCAACTATCTATTAGTTCTAACTGGGAGGTAAGATATGATTTGAAAGAATGTACGTACACTACTGACTGTGTATATGAGAAAATATGTGAAGATAAATGTTTGACGTACACGAATATAGATGAGCATAGTATATGTGAAGTGAATGGTAATGGTGTGTAGTTTGGTATTCGAGGATCGTCAAAAAGAATCTTACGAAGTGTATAATGACTTTTCTACATTTTTAACTATGAGGCGGAGATACTCGATAATGATGAAGCTTCAGTTTTAGATGATTTAATCAATGTCCGAATGATAAGACATAAGTAAAAATTAGTAAAATGGAAACATTTTATGTTGGGAAAATGTTTATGTGTATGTGTTAGTGTTGAAGGTATATGGTTAAAGGTTTATGTGAATTAGTGTTAAAGGTATATGGTTAAATGTTTATGTACGTATACTAATGTCATTAACAATAGTTTGGAACTTTCTTTCTTTATACAAACGTCGAAGTTTTTGAATCGCCTTTAAGCTAGTAAGTGAAGATGGAGTCCGTAACAATTCACCAATTTTATTTTTTCCATGTTCTTGTGCTATACCATGAATGCGACTATTTCCAAATCAGTTGTTGTGTACGTATACTAAAAACACCATGGCCCATGTACGTATACAATTGTTGTGTACATGTATGAAAATCAAATGTGTGTATCATGTACGTATACTAATGTCATTAACAATACTTTGGACCCAACATTCTGATTCTCTAAGGGTGGCGAAAAACTTTTGTATGCTTTATGAAATCTGAAAAGCTTTTGATTTGTGAAAATATTGTGAACCAGCACAAATAAATTAAACATTATATATACACTTGTTTAAAGTCACCTTACCTTTCGTTTTTGCTCGTCGTCGGTGTTCAAGACATGCAAATCGGAGAAGAGTATGAGTTTCCGATTTTACCCACAACTTTTTGTTGCTGAGGATCCTACTCAGAAATACCGATATTTGGGTCGGGCAGACGAATATCTGAGATTTCGAGTTACGAAATTTGTCATCTTCTTCTTCTCACTGGAGTCTCGTTGCCGAAAACTTCTCCGCTGCGACTTGCCGGAATTTTTGAATTTCACTTTGGGGTTTCACTATAATTGGAAATTCATTGAACTTCACTTTGTGGTTTGGAGTACTATCTACTATCCTCACCAAAATTTTGATGAAGAGGAAATTATCGTAACCTCCAAACTTCCGATTTCCTCTTTGATTCTTCTTCTTTTTCCAATTTTTGTTTATAATTTTTTAATATAAAAAATTAATTAAAAAATGTGAATTGCAAAACTAACCATTTTGGATCAAGTAATTAAATATATAACACTATAATATAGAGAATTAAGCAAGTAACAAAAGAGGAAAAATGAAAAGTCCATAAACTCCTCCTTTCTCGTTTAAGGAAATGGACGTGCGGCCATCAGAGCACTCGTCGCTGGAGCTACCGCCGTTGATATTGCCGGTGCCGCCGTTTCAATCCCTCAACACCGCCTTTATCTCCACCTCTCTCCACGGACGATTTCAGATCGATATGTCTTGTCTTCTGTTAACTACCGGCGACACTACGACACTCACGAGGGATGGTAAATGAAGTTGGATATGATCAGAGAACCATTCTTGGCCGGAGGAGAGATTGGTGAGATGTGAGATTTGGTCACTGGGGGATGACGGCGACGGCGACGGCCAGAATTGGTGGTTTTGAAGAAGACGGAGGAAAATGAGAGATAGAAGACGAATGTTCATACAGGGGCAAAATTGTCCTAAATACAGAAAATACAGAAAATATCAACTTATTTTTTGTTGTGTGTTAGAAATTTAATTTAAGCTTTTCTTTTAGTTATTCTTTCTATATTTTTCTAAAAAAACTCACTTTTTGTAAACGTGTGCGACTGTTAGGAAGAGAGAAACTAAAAGGGGTTTTTTAGTTAGAAGGGTATTTTTGTCCTAAATGGACTTAATTGCTATTTCGTGAAAGGAGTTTTTGAGTTTGCCATTTGGTGAAAGAACGAGTGGATTTTGTGTGTGACGTGAAAATTTCTTTTTTTAATAAAGCCAAAAACTCTTGCTTAAAAAAAAAAAAGAAATAGAACTCTTGCTTCATTCTCAAAAAGACAAGAAGTCTCACTTTTTTTTTTTTTCCCTTGTCTAAAAGTCATCGACACAT